CATATTTACAACTCTGTACAGAAACTTCGCAAATTATCTTTTCAACTTCGAAGACTTAGGTAGTTCAATGCCAAGAAAAAAATCACTTCACTTTTTGTTTATCAATGTGTTTTCCCCGTCCTTCTTTATTGTTCTCCGGTGGTTTTTCCTGATCTACTAAAGAAAGACTTTAAAATTCTTCGTCGCGGTTTGTCGATCATTAATTGTGTGTCCTTTATACCCGTTGGTGAGCTATCTAAAAAACGGTGTGAACTTCACTTGTCCGCATGTGAAACGTTTGCCCAGAAAATCCTCGCTGACCCCAACCATCCTTTACATGGCGATTTATCTAAATGCTGCTCTTATACGTCTACACGTTCTTCTTATCGATTATTACCCTCTCGCATTAGTCTCTACAGAAATTCCCCAGTTCCCTATCTTGCCAGAATCCTTGTAAACCGAGAGCGCGCTTCCTCAGAATTTCTTCTCTTAAAGGCTAAATATTTTATTTGTATCTTTCCTTCTATTGATGAGATGTGTAAATTTTTGATTGATATGCGAACATTCTTTTCTCGCAAAAGTCTATACAAATACAAATACAAACCATGCAGCTTTTTGTCTACCAACTGCACCTTTTTCCATCAAGCCTTTGCCAAAACCCGTAAGTATTGAGCCTCGATCGTCGTATTCAGGACGAAATGGGAAGAGCAATTAGGCAGAACAGGTGTCTCGCCTTCCAGGTTGAGGTCCGAACGACGCCACATCCGGTTGGTTTAAGACGTTGAAGGATATGGCAGCAGACTGACAGCAGTGGCGATCTTGTTGTCATTTCTTATCAGGCCAGAATGTGTGAAACGGTATGTATGCAGAATTCGGTTGCGTACTCTGTGTGTGTGTGTTGATCATAGGGATTCACCTTCGTCTGCCTCACTCAAAATAGGTCCCATTCCTGTCCACCTTGCCGACTACCACTAACCTCGTACGCATTGCGAGTTTGGCAGCGAACAGTGAAGTTCTGTTCATTGTATTTCGCTGTACGTTAATGATGATGATGATATCATACGTGTATCAAATGTTGTTTTTCCAACCGTGCTATGAACACTTCCTCCCTACCCAAAAAAACAATCACACCTATAGACATTAAATTTCAATTTTGACTATATAACTGTATTAGCCCGAAGAAGAAGTTGTCGAAAACGAGCTTGTTCGCTAAAACCACTGTGTTTTCCTTCCATGCCAAGATGGGAATTTTCCATAAAATGTTGTAGCGTTAAAAGACCGATGATATTGATGCGGGTGTAGTTTTAGGAACTGATTTCACTGTCCTCGGCCTTTTAATGTCTCAATTTCTCAAGAACGAATTCCACCTCAAGTGGAGATACGGCAACGAAGCATTCGTTTTATACGGTCAACGTATATTCATCACAAGGTTACGGAATGCAAATAATGTGCCGTTTTTGTTACATTTGAGCTTTTCATTTACAAAAGTCGCAAATTTTTGATTTCCCCTGTAGTACCGTCATGCGATATTCGATTAGTCGGCGATGGGGCTATAAAAACACACCAAGATAGGCGGCAGTAATATTGGTTGTATCCTAGCTGAAGTTATATATATATATTCTTTCACACACGCATAAGTTCAAACTGTGCTAAACAAATCACGGTACAATCACCTTGAGCAAAAGAAAAAAGCCCATATTTTTCTCCAGGGGACGATAACGCCAGGTCGTTCAGGTCAAAACAGGTGGATTTTCTTAGGGAAGTCACAATCGGAGCCTTCGGCTAAACAAAACCTGACTCACAAGGCAGCGAGGCGGTGTGTGATAACCGCAATCCATTAGGGGCCGGTATCCAGTCCATCATACGTCCTTCGACGGGGTCAAACGTCCAACTTACCCAATATTCGTTCATGCCCAGTCAAGCTGGTGACCAATGCCACAACCAAGGTGTGTGGTTTGTACGGCTCTACTTGGTTGGTTTGGAATCCAGGCAAGAAGTGAAAGCTCGGCCTTGACACTTGACGCGATCCAAACACTAGTAACATCGCGAGCATTAGATGAGACAGAAGCATTTCCAAATGGGTACCTAAAACTTTGGGGCATAAGGTACTTTGCGGTAGCTCACACCGAATAAAGGGTTTTTCTTTGGGAACCATAACTGGAACCTTTGACACAAAAGTCTGACACACGAGGTAGTGGGGCTTAGATCCAACGAGGATGCGTGACCGAAGCATCCGTGTGGGGGAACTTCTAGAGACCTGACACGCAAGGTCTTTGAATTTCTGTTCAGTATATTGTTTGCTGGTACGTTGATTGATGGTCTACTTTGCGGAATTAGCCCTTATTCTTGTGCACCAACCAAAACTGGCGCGCAGAAGTGCATGGTGAATAGCGGTAGAAATTTAAACGGAAAATAGTTCAGAATCAGTGATTTTGGCCAACTCCCATGGATGAATTACCAATAGTTCGCCGACCTGGTTATTGCCCTGGATGCTGGCTTTTCGTCCTCTCACTTTGATGCGAAAACACCTCTCCTCGAGAAGACAGTGAGTAGGGCTTCCTCAACGGAAGCTGTTTGAGATGCTTGGTCTAATGGGAGAATTTAATAAGGTGCAACGAAGGGATGACCACCGCAACTCCAGACACCCACCCAGACCTTACTGAGGCTTTCGGAGGCACTGCAATATGGTGAACGTTAAATTAGATAGACAGGAAAAGCCCTATCGCTTCACCGGTGAACGACGGAGAGTGACTGAATCCGCATGCAGATGGAGTAATGGGAAATAAGTTGCACGAATATCTTGCTATTAAGATCAAAACATGTAGCACTATTGCAGTCACACAGTCACAGTCACCTGAATATTACAAGGCAAAGTTCAAAAGGGAGTTCAAAAAAATATTTGTGTGACGTTGTTGAGTTCAAAGAAAGAATTGGCAATGACTTCCCGGGCACCTTGACAAGTAAGTCCTCAATTGATTGATTGCTAGATGGAAATCTCTCTCTATTCAGTTATGAAGTTGACCATCCAGCCTGTGGGACGGAACTCGAAAACTAGTAAATTAATACGAGCGGAATATGCCAAACGGTTACAGTGATAGAGTAACGCAACATTGATGTTGCGTATTGACGAGACCAACTTCATCATATGGTGCTTTTGCAGCTGTAGATGAACCAAAGTGAACTGTAAAGACGCTCGAATCCTCCAAGCCTCCAACTTGAACACAAAATTATATTCATCTGTCGCCGGTATCTTGAAATACGAATGTCATTCAATGATTATTCGGCATGTCTTCAATGAGTTTCTATGAAACTGCTTCACGATAATTGCAACTCAAAACCCGGGTATTCTAGGTGTTTGACGATGCCCCTTTCGTAGAACGGCTTTGGATGCGTGGTTATATGCCACCAACCAATTTTCATTCCTTCTATCTTGCAGTTCCTTCTTCAACCCACTGGAACTGACGTTCGGTAAACTCAAACAGATAAGCGTTTTTAATTGTTTCATTAATTTGTTATTATTTAACACATCCAAATGTGGTTCACTGAAAACAATGAAGACGTACGAGATATGCCAAATGGTCTGATGATACAGGTGTATTGAACAAACGCTCTCGCCTGGATATGTGATGCAGTACTTCATACCACTACGATGGTTAGTTGCCAGGCATAAGGTCACCACATCTTCTCATTCTTTTCTTATCCAAGCTTTGCGACATCAACATGTGTAGAAAATAAAATGTTTGAACGTTTGTTGATCTGAGAATATGCTAATCTAACTCGCTTACAGCGATATGACTAAAGTTTGAGCGTCGGGGCTCAAGGGCTACGGTTCATGGCTAAAGCATTGTAGGTAACGGTTAATCGGAATGTGCGTAGAAGCTAAAGGATTGCAGGATTAGAAAAGATGTAGATGGTATTTAGAAGCATAACGTTCTCTGAATTGGGTTTGAAAACAAACCAGCGAGTTGAACGTGTGATATCAGTTCGGCCCAGTCTGCTAAGTCTTTGGATGATATGGTCCACGGGAGTGTGTGTTCACCACAGTTTGTTTCACTACATTCGATTATCACTTAACCCAGTAATGACATGAACATTTGGCCTCTATATTACGCATCCCTTGTTAATGCAGGCCCAATTCCTTCAGTCGGAAGAGCGTCTGGCTGATCTAATTCGAACTAATCGAGAACTGGAAGAAGTGCGCCAAAAACAGGCAAGCAAAATTGTCGAGCTTCGTGAGGTGGTGGAAAAACAGGCGGCAGAACTGACAGATCACCAACGCCGATCGGCGGACTCCGTTCAACGGTTGACCGAGGATGTTCAGTCTACAAGGAGAACGATTGAACAACTCAGACGTTCAGAAAAAGATGTATGTGAAATGAGTTGAAAAACATCGTTTGAAACGCATTCTGTGGCATTATGTCACTGTCAATTCCGTTCATTTAAATATGTGATCGGTATATTTATGAGTTTCGGCAAATACAAGTATTCATTTAAAACTAGGCAATGATTGAGTATTATTAAGTCTTATTACGATTGATTTTTAATTTGAAAAATGAGGTAGAGGAGACAATTCCACCATCCCCTTGAAGGAATACAGTACGTACCAAACAGGTATCTGAACAATGTTTCGTGGATTATTTTGCGTAAGGTGGTGTGTTGATCAGAACAGTGCACAAACTCGAATAATGCAAACTCTCATCTGGACGCAAAAAGCAAGAACTACTCTGAAGTCGGGTAGAGCCAGGAAGAATTGTGTGTATGTGTTTGGAAGCCTGAATCAGTTATTGGTTTACTCTCGATTGACCAATCATTGTCGTTATGAGCCGCAGTTTCGTATTGGTATCTATTCAGCAATCAGCCTATCAGTGTGCATACAGGTGAGGTCACCAGGTTGATTGCAATTTCCGTCGTAGGATACATATCCATTTCATTATTGTATATATTTATACACACCCTCGAGAAAATTCAGATACAATATTCTTGATAACAAAGAAATCAGTTCCAGAGTTATTCGGGACCAAATCACTCCCACGTCACCTAGGTCAAGCAGGTTAATTTTCGAACATTCACAACAAGAGCTTTCAGCTAACCAAATCCTCATCTAGCTATGCGGTGTGCAAAATCTACAATCCATTGAAGGCCAGTGTTCAAGTGAACGGGGTCAAACGACCTTGGTACTCATTTGCTCTATAGATACCTAAACAAACCGGTGACCACTGCCACAATTCGGATGGGTGTGGATGTGGTTCATCGGACTCTAGCCGACTGGTTTGGAATCCGGGCTTTCATCCCGGAGAACTGCTATTGGTTCACTGATCTGGGAAGATTGTACTCAGTAGTAGGTAAAAGTGAAAGGCAAATTATGAGTGCATAATCAATCATATTATCAGCTCATGGACACACGGTGCAGTCGCGGTGAATTTATTTGTACAGTGCAGTGGTTTAGTTGCTGTCACCGGCGTGCTTTGGACCTCAATAGTCCGAGGTTCGAGCCTCGCCACCACCACAACCAAACTTTGGTGGTGGGCAGCTTAGCTATCGTCCAATTCAATACCACACCTAACTTATCAAGGCGTTATGTGGTTCGCCACTTCAAGTCCCGGAGCTTAGGTCACCGGTTTCTATCACTGAACAGCAGGTCCTAGCGACCATGTGGCTTTTGCCGTCTGCTATTCATCACACGAAAGTGTGTGATAAAAAGTCACAGGTTGGTAATAATGCAGATACTGCACATGGAATTGTATAAGTTAATGCCTGTGTGTGTGTGTGACATAGAGAGGTCGCTCAGGCAAAACTAATGTAAAACTCCATCTGGGTTTATGCGTAACTGGGTTGGACTTGTGATTGTGAATGCCTACAGTAGCATCTCATTTAGTGTTTGCTGACCCCAAATGATGATTGGGCTTACGCCGCAGTGATTTTCTCCTTAAAAATGTTCACTAATCCGAAATCGGATTCTTCGTTCAATTGCTAATATGATCGTTACGGATGTGTGGCTTGCTCATTGTTTTTCTCAGTCACCGGGGTAAACGATTCGTACATTGTGTTGTTGTAACCCAGTCTATCGCCGTGTGGAAACACCGCGTGAGCGGATGCTTATGACCAGTCCGAGATATGCGAATCCGGGTGATGAATTTACCAGTGCTATCGTTCACGTTAATGAAATGTTTAATGAAAATGATAGACTTTCGGTGTTTCCTTTCGTTTCACTATTATCTGAAACTATCCTTTTTTAGCAAAATCAGACCAAAGTTTTAATGTTGTGACCGGCAAATGAATAACATCGATTCGGCGGTTTTAGTTCGATGACTTCCCAGTCATAGTTCTGCATTAAAAAGAAAGGGAGGAAACCTGTGTACAATCAAAGAGGCGCGATGTACAGGGTGCGGGATCGGGCCGGAATCGATTACACACAATCAGTTACAATTAGTTTATTTCAGTCTTCCTTATTCTCTCTCTCTCTCTCTAAGAAGTATGTGTCGATCCGCAAAGAGTTGTATCGTCATATCTCAGGTCGGGTTAGAGCCTATGGCCAGCTTTCACCACCCCTCGCCGTCTCCAGTTCAGTTCGATAAGGTTTCCCTATATCCTCATTCCTTTTCAACTTTGTCACAGAGGATGCTCTGCAGAATGCTTTGTCCGGTCTAGCAAACGGTGGAATTGACTCCTCCCAGGTAACGGAGTCCTTAACTTAGATTATACCGATTTAATCGCCTTGTTTGGTTACAACACACAGGCAGTCCAAGAAGCTTTGAACCGCTTGGTGATCGAGGTATCCAGGTATCGTGTATGCTTTGCACCTTCTAAGGTCTTGTTCAAGAATGGCAGGAGCCTGTGCCTGCACTAACCCTCTATGGTGATCAGCTAGAAGTAGCTGAGAGCTTTAAGTACCTCGCAGCTGGTGGTGATGTTGGGGAGGAGATCACGTCACGAATAGCGAAAGCTATAGCAGCTTTCGCCAACCTGGAACACCTGTGGTGCCACAATGACATCCGATTGTCCTTGGGTGTACATCACGGTTCGTAACGTTCTCTTTTACGGTTGGAGACCTGGACTCTGCGAGTAGAGGACGCCAATCTATTTTCTGTGTTCGAACACCGATGTCTTCGAAGCATTGCTCGTGTCTGGTGGGAACATTGGGTGAGCAATGGCTAGGTCCGTCGTCGTTTGTTGGGTGCGGATAGTCGTTCTCTAACAGAAGTAATCGCTCTACACCGCCTCCGATGGCTTGGTCACGTATTGCGTATGCCTACCCATCGACTACCTTTCCGTGCTCTCCTCGATTGTGTCGGTCAAGGCTGAAAGAAGCGACGCTGTGGTTAGACCATGGCATGGGCTAGAGGCATGAAGAAGCCTGGCTTCGGCTTTGGCTTCGGTTGGTGCAGCCCACCTTCCAGGTTGAGACCGAAGGGAGGAGCATTTTCGTTGGTTAGAGACGTTAAGAAATACAGCTCAGTATAGAAGTCAGCCGCGCGAATGCTGTACGGTTTGTCTGTCGAAGTCCCGTGCCTCGAAAAGGAACACTATACTAACACAACAATTTTAAAAGTGTACGGTGAAACACAAAAAGTTGTTATCCCATTTCTTTGTAATTTTCCATTTTAACAGTTCCGTCTTTTTTCCTATGTTCTTTATCCAAGCCCGCCTCCAGTGATTGTTATTATTATTATTATTATTTTGGGGTTGGCACTATGCTTGTCCGCAAGCCGGTGTTAAATACATAAATTTACTCTCTCTGTCTCTCTCTCTCTCTATCACTTTCGGATATTCATCAGCTGTTTGAATTCCGATCTCTGATTGGACGATTGCTTGGACTGGATGTGGATGCACTGACTGTGCCAAATTACGAAATTGTACAGAAATTGGAAACATTTATCACCAAGTTGCAGCACAGTCACCAGCATCATCATCTGATGCCAACGGACCCCGAGTTTGGTGTGTTGAATCGATCCCCGTCAAAAAATCTAACCAATGGTCTCGAATCGAGGGATCGTGGAACGTATCTGGCTGGACCGGGAGTAGCGAAGGCACGGTCAAAAGAAGGTACATGTATGTACATTCTCTTTCGCTTTCAGTTGAAGTCCAATTCGGTTCCAACTGCTTAATGTTATTCACTGAGGCCTAGTTGCTCTCACTGAAATCTTTAAAGTTCCGTTACTGACGCACAGAATGTACCGAATGTGACGGAAGTACAGAATCATTTTTGTTTCTGAAATAGTCGTTCAACACGATTTGATTTTCTCTGAACAAACACATATCGTTTTATAAACAATGGCGAAAAGCCAAAGCTTATATCAAAACTGCTGCACATCAACTGTAACTTTATTTTGATGCGGCATTCTGACGTGTTTACATGTGCTATTTCTAGTCCTGAGACGGAATCAGACATCTACCCCCGGCGTACTGTTGTGCTGACCAAATGAGGTACTAATATTTGGAATTTCAGCTTGTCAACTCAATACAGCAGTCCAGTTTGGGTAACTTGAAAAAATATCAGTAAAGAGGCTTTCTCAACTAATCCGGGTTGTCTATAGTCAAACGCAATTATCTGACAACGTCTTTTGAAAATTAATTTTCATTACATAAACAGTGGTTCAATTATTTGTCAGGAGGGAAGCTGTGATCTGCAAATGGTCAACAGGGGATGTAACACAAGTGATGAGGTATGGTGGCATTTTGGAAATATCCCTTTCCTTTGGACCATTTGAGAAAAACGCAAGTAACACAATATGAGACGGATTGATATTGGCTATCGATTTTGCGTGCGCTCAATCAAATTCAAATTCTTATGATTGGGAAAACTTTACAAAGACTTCGCTTATCAAATCCCATAGATTGTTTACACTTTGGGTTCGGAACGCGATTCACAGTTAGTCCATGAAAGTAAAATAGTAATATAATGTTTTTGACGAGCACAGAAGAATATATTGTGTTGTTGGGTGTTGAAACATAATGTTTGCCAGAGCATCATCAAGTTGACGCTTGAAAGATACTAATGTTGGCACAGAGACCACGTGAGGTGGTAGAGAGTTCCATGTGCTGCACACTATGACTGCTAACGAATGACGTCTTTATTCGAGACGGCTCTTTTGGTGTACCAACTTCAGTGGATACCCTTTAAAATGAACATTGATTGATAGAACCAAAAGAGATCTACATAGATGGTTGGGCTGTTGGAAAATCCAATAAAGTAAGATCATGTCACCTCTGATTTGATGATATTAAGACCAGTATATCCCCAATATCTGTAATCTTCGGCCATAGATCTTGGAATGCAAACCCTTGATCATCTTGGTAGCCATTCTCTGCTGATGTTCGAGCTCCTTCCTAGCTCGCTGCAGCCATGGGTTCCAGGCCTGAATTGAGTACTCGGTGTACGGACGGATATATGTGGCTAACAGACGTGGAATCAAAGCCGGCTCAAAAAATCCAAAAACACGTTTAAGCAGTTCAGCCTGTTTTACCGTCATGAGTTATGCCCTTGAATGGTTTGTGGAGCAAATCAAGTCTGTGCGAATGACTACTCCCAGATCGTTCTCAAATGAAGCATGAGGCAGAGTTTTGTGTCCCAGAGTGTAGGAAAAACGACCATTGTGATTTAGTGATCTGCTGTCTACGCGCATTAAATAGGTTGGGATGTGATCAAACGAATGTCATATATGGACAGTTACGTAATTACATGGGTTCAGG